TGATACCAAGTAATGAAAAAGGAAAAAATCTACAATTATATTTCTTTGATAGTGAAAATGAAGTGAGCAATCGAATGGCATGTTCTGATACATTGAACTACTGTACTATGAAAAATTTAATGAAAATATTAAAAACCAAAAACCAATCCTTACTCTACGTTTTTGAAATCCTTAATAAATATCCCACAATTATCAGATTTCTACATTGCGCTCAAGTGTAATGCTGGTCTAGACCAACAAATATACAACTTACCAACTACGTCAGAAGTGGCAGGGATATGGGTAGAACAAGATACCAATAATTGTATCCCTACGCCACATATCCGAATATTCCTACGCCACATATCCGAATATATACAAAAAGTGATAGAAGCCAACTGTAAACTATTACAAAACAGTTCTACAACAACTATTTCCGATGAGCATGCGGAAAAAATATTGCTCCTCACTTCGGAAGAGGTTTATGATATCTGTAATGTCAAGGTATATTCCGTTACATGAATTACATCATCATATAACAAGCTATTAATTCTGACTCCCGCTATCTCATCACTATTCATTATGATATGAAGCACATCATAGAATGTGTGATTAGTTCTACCCTCCATTCCAACATAGACCAATAGGATTCAACGATATCCTTCAACCAAAATCTTCAGTGTGGTGCAAATAAACAAAACCACACTTTGGTTGTAGCTATTGATAAAGCTAATGGAATGTAGCATCTTATCCATACTATTTACATTTTGTTTGCAAACAATCTTGTTTCATTCCGAGTAGAGAAACAAGAGCACCCACACACAACCAGCAAAGACAATGCTTCCTACAACAAATGTAATGTGGAAATGAATATTTCCCCTCCGAAAAACAGCTGAGAGGTATTTGAAATTTCTGTTCCTTCTAAATTTAATATGAGATTCAACTTTGTAGAAAAGACAGACAACTTAAACTACTATCATTTGTTAGCACTTTTGCCACTGAAACAACTTTTGCTACTATTTTGGGATGCAAGTGAAGCCACATCTTGCTGTTGCTTTTGAATGCGGTTAAGCTCACTTTTGCGACTGCTTTCTGGATGTTCCTCTACTCGGAATATGTCGGCGACATGAGGTTAGTGTACTTGATTACAAATCCAGATTTTTTCAAAATCCTTCATACCAACCGATATAAAGCTACTCCAGTTTTTTCATATTAGTTTGGGAGAAAGAAAAAAAAAGCACTTTGTATGTTAACCAACTCCAATTTTTTGTTAAGCCTCTTCCCGCTCTTTCTTGGTCTTTGTTGCTTTTTAATGAAAACTATCCCTCAGAAGGTTTAAACTGGCATTAAAGAACCTCTTATATTTATTTTTTTGATATGACACTTAAAAAGAAATGCTTAACTAAATTCTTAAAGCACTTTTTAAACTATAATTGTGTGTGGAGAATACATGTGTTTCTGTGCTTTATTAGGTTTCTTGCTTAAATGTTTGTTATTGTTCTCTAAGCTGCTAATTTTAGCGATGTTATGTTAATACGTTTCGTTCTTTGAAGTAATTTTGAACTGAAGAGCTCTCTGTTTATTCCTTTATTGTAGCTGATTGTTAATGGTAGTGTTCCTTTTAGATTACTGAATGGTTATTAAGGTTAGTGTCATATGACTTAAAGTCGGCTTCTAGCCATTTTAGTTCCGTCCTGTGTGATCTTCGATGTGGAACAAATATCCATTTTAAAATATAAAGGCTCAGATTTTATTAATGTAACAATTTATGTGAATCTTAGAGTAAAGCTTTTCCCCCCACAATTGAGGTTCTAACGTGGAATTTCTGTCGAGAATCAAAACCCAGTTGGTTAAAATTAAAAGATTTGAAACGTGGATACACACTTTCCATAATAAATGACATCTCCTCCTTAGAGTGTAAAGCGAAGTATTTTCAGTAAGATCTGGGTGAAAATGGGTAGATTGATACTGGTATCTGCTTTTCTGAGACTAAAGAAGCTGTCTTTCATTACTTTTAATTTGAATTTTTATTTATTCTCACCAGTGCAATTAAATTAATATAAGTTAATCTTAGTGGACCACTATTAGGTTTTACATTAGTGAATGGCAGCAGTAACTTTAGTATCTTAAGTCTCTTGGCAAGGCATACACTTGTTCGATTTAATTCTTGTATTGTATTATGTGGAAACTAAAAGAAGCTGCTGCAAATGGAGCTGTTTATTCTAAACAAAATCATGATCATGACCTATTGCAGCTTCATGACTAAAGTCTTAGAGATTAGCAGAAAATAGTGGACAGTCAAACAACTATACAACAGACTGTTTCACTACCTACTACTGGACCTATAGAGTTCTTATGCTTGATTGTGTTTGTACATTTAGTAGCCAAATTTTCCTGTTAGTGGCAAAAAATCCAGCCCCACCTTGAACGAGACATTTTTTGGCCTGGTATATCCAACTGAAAACTATAAAGTGTGAATAATACGTAACTCTTGATTTGCCTTGACATATCTGCGTAAAATGGGTATTGCATGATGTGGCTGCTTCATATTGATTTTTCAAGATACACCAAAAACTTACTTAGATGGGTGTAGCCCACTATGTTGTGCGGACTCTCCGAAAATACTATCGCATCCATGTCGGATCCTCCAAAAATAATATCTTTATCTGTTATATTTTACCAATATTCATATTTGTTTGAATATTATCGCGTATTTGCGTTCGAAGTTACAACTTGAAGTATAACAGAGAAAATTTTATACATATATAGTCAAAAATAGAGTGATAAAAATGGATTTTTTTCCCTGAAGTATTTTGGCTCGTATTCAACTCAACTGGTGATGTGTTGTTGAAACTTTAATTGCTATAATTGCTATTTCAGAATCTTTGTTAAGAGACTTGTGCTTTTTGCTATTCGAGAGTGTAATTAGCCGCTCATATTGCCTACTTTACTTCAGAATATTTTTTTATCAGTGAATTTGTGTTTCAATTGTGAACATATGTTGTAGTCTACAATTACTTTTTATTACTGTATATGTTTCAGTTATTTTCTGTTTCACATATGCTTTGACTTTTACTAATTATCAAACAAGTACTTTCTGTTGTTGCTTACCTGAAGTTTTGCCATATATTTCAGCTTGTGTGCTTCTACAACAAGCATGTGATTTGGCCGTATCTATGTTAACTACTTTTGAGCTAACATTATCATATTTTACCTTAAAGATATGTAACCTTTTAATTTATAACATATTTATTTGTTTGCAGATATTTTTGGTCAAGAACTACTAGAAAAAAGACCAGAGAAAAGACCATTGCATCGCATTCAGCTAATATGTAAATAGTTATGTCATATATGTTGTAACTACTGTGGCACTTTAAGCATCCCTTAATGTGATGCTCTCATGGATGCAAACAATGTATATTTTGCTGAAAATATATA